TCCACTTGGTGCCCCCTGACGCAGAGTCACAGGGAGTTTCTGCTGCGCACAAGCTGCTGCTTCCCCAGCTCTCCCCAAGACCCCAGACAGACAGTGCTGCTTGCTGGCCTGTCACCCTCCCCAGCTGAGCCTCCCTGGGCACCCACCCGACCACCAGGCTCTCCATGGCACCTGACAGTGCCTCTGGGGACCTGGGTGACCCTTGCAGGCCTGGGACAGGGAGAGGGGTGTGGCCTGGAGGGCGGGAGGGAGCCAGGAGCTCGGGGCCCCTATGCTCCGGCCCCTAGCTAGCCACCAGCTTCAGGCTCTCCCAGGCTTGCCACTACTGTGTTTAACTCCTTCCTTCCTGGGGTTAACGGGCTGAGGCCCCTGACCTCAGGCCCGGCTTCCACCATCCTGGGCCCCAAGTTCCCTGGCTGGGTTTGTAGGCCCAGGCTTTCCTTGGAAGTGAGCACAGACGTGCTCCCAACCCCCCCCCCCCCACCCCCTGCTCCCCGTCCCCCATCTCTGCGGCCTTTGTCTGCAGGCCCTGGGAGCAGCGGCAGCACCCTGGTGGCTCTCCTTCAGGCTGGAGGCAGCGCTCCCGGCTTGGCCGCCCTTCCTCTGTTGGCGCCCAGAGCTGGGCCCTGCGGAGCCAGCTCCGGGCTGGGGGCGCACGGCTCCCTGGCCTGATTTTGTTGGGGTGGAGGTGTCACTTTCTGGAATTGTTGGGTGTCTCTACCAGCCGAGGGTCCCTGACCCCCACGAGCAAACGCCGCTCTCACTGCGTTCTTTTTCTCCCCGGGTGTCCCCACACCCACCTAGACAAGTGTGGGAAGTGAGGGGACAACGGAGCTGCCGGAAAAGTCACCCTCCTCCAGCTTTGTCTTAAAGAAAAAGAAATAAAAGGGAGGCTGAATCAGCAGGCAGGCTCGACCTTGCGCAGGAGCGCTCCTGCCCTCCGCAGCCCTGCTCGGGGGTTTTATTTGCAATACTTGTGTCGCTATTATAAATCCACGCGTCTGGAAGCCGTCCTTCCTTCTGATACTCTTCCAGGTTCCTCTTTGTGCAGAGAGCCCGGGAAGTCTGGAGCTGGTTCCCGAACGCGGGTGGTTTGTGGCGGCTCTCCAGCACCTGCCAGGCTGGGATATTCCAGGTTCCCGGGTCTGGGCCTCACTTGACGCTGAGGGAAAGCAAACGTCCAGCAGTGGCTCACCGGCTCGCGCACAGAGAAGCCGACCTTGAGTTCGGCGGTGACGGCAGCGGCCCTTAGGGTCGGGCAGGATGGGGAGCACGGCTGGCCGGGTGCAGGGCCTCGGGGCTGAGCGGCTGCAGGGCTGGCTAGCATCTCGAGGACCGCAGGAGAGAGCTGCGAATGCCCACTCCCCCGCACCCCCCAAAAAGCACAGCCCAGCGGTGTCCGCATCTGCAGGGGCAGGGGCTGGGCCTCAAGCCTGTTTCCCGAGCTTCCTGAAACAGCTTCTTGCCTGTGTTGTGAGATTTAGAATTCCCTCAACGTGGGCAGCTTCCGCCCGGATTCTCCTGCCCTCCCGGCTGGCCCTTTGTATGGCGCTCACTCTCAAGGGGCACTCTTTGGGGGAATTAATGTCATGTTTGGGTTGGCTTTGGGTGGCCTGATACTTTAATTCTTTCTCTCCATATTCTTTTCTTTTTGCCCGCGTCTTCCTCCTGCCCCCCCACCCCCGCCGCTGCCGGAGTGCAGGCCAGTAACTTGGAAATCGCCTTCTCCCTCGGACCCGCCTGACTCTGTAGGCTGGAGACCTGGTGACCCCAGGCTGCTGCCAACAGACAGGCTTGGTTTGCCTGGAGATAATGTGCTGCTTGGCGGGGCTGCTGTTGCAGCCGCGAATATGGGTCTGGGTTGCAGGAAAGAGCACAGCAGAAGCCCACCGCCCACTGTGGGCTTACTTAAGGCTAAGGCAATCAAAGGCAAAGTTTCCCAAGAAATTAGAAAATATTTTCCAGGAGATGGCCTAATTGATTTTTTATGGGCAGGTGGAGAAATTAACCTGGGGTGGCTTTACAGGAAGCGAACCAGCCCTGGGCCTTCCCACTGCTCCCTCTGAGTTGTGGAGACCCAAAGTCATTTGGACATTCCCTGGCTGGTGATGATTTGGGTTCTCAGAGTTGCAGGAAGATGTCCCAGAAAACCACAAACACAAGTCAATAGGGCGTTCCCCAAAACCTCACCAGCTCCATTTTCCTAGGGACAGCCAACTGTGAGGTTTGATTTTTTGAGACCCAGGGAGGATCCCTGGCCGGTATGAACCTGGCAAGGTAATTTGGCAAGGACCCCTCCAATAGGAGGAAAACCTGGGGGCGGGCAGTAGATATGAGTCTCCCCAAGTGAGAATTGCTTTCAACTTCCCCAACTGCCTGCTGAGTCTACCCACCTTCAGTCCCCTTTTAGTGGCCAGGTGACCCAGCCCAGCACCTCCTCCTCTCCCCCATCTGGGCCCCCCTCTTAATTTCCCTGGGAGCAGAACCTTGTAATTGATGTTTGTTGCGTCCCCAGCGCCGGCCTGAACCCTGGAACCTGTAGTGAGCAGACAGAGCTGGGCTGGGGAGAGGATAGGGCACTGGCACGATGGCTGGAGAGCTGAGCCAGGCCAGGGGGAAGGCTTCGACCCTCAGGGTGGCTTGGCCCTCACACTGCCGGGAGGGCTGCTTGCCCAGACCTTATCCTGCCTTGCCTGGCTGTGTCCTGCTGACACTCCTGGGCCTCGAGCCGCTCTGCGGTGGGCCTCAGCTGCTGAGCACCCCGGAGCTGCCTGGGCTGGCCAGAGCTAGGGTGCCCCCGCTCTCCCTCTTCTCCTCCTCCCCATCCCTCTTTCCACTGAGGTAGTTTTATTGTGTCAGTGCTCCCAAACCCTTGGAGCTGTCCCTTTGGAGGCTTCCGGAAGTTTGCAAATTTCCATAAAAATGCATTTTAAATGATAGGCAAGCTTAGGGGAACAAGGGTATTGGGTGGGTGTCTGCAGCTAGGGGAAGGAGAGAAGAGCAAATAGGAAGGAGCCTAAGGGAGGAGGGAGAAGAGAAGAGGAAACAGAAGTTCAAGTTGGACATCTGACAGCCGCTGGAAAGGAAGTTTAGGAGGAGATGGGGGGAAAGAGGAGGAGTGGGGAGAAACAAACTGGGGCCATCACCCTTCCACCCCCTTCTACATGGCCCCTGCTCTCCCGGGGAACTAGTTTAAAGGATTCTAGGACAAAGAAAATGTGGTGAAAGGCCCTCAGTGGCCGCTCAGCGGGGGTAGAGATGTGGGGGGGCGGTGGTTGGAGGGTTATCTGAGAAACAGGGTGTGGGGTGGGGGAGGGGTCGCGCTCTGGGGTGTTTTCTCTCCGGATTGTTTTGAAGGTTTGGCCGAACCGTCAGCCTGCCTCTCCTTTCCCAGACAGAAGATGCGTTATCACCCGCCATGCTCCTTTATTTCTCTTTCCCCGCACGGAGCCTCCCGTCCTACTCCCGCGCTCCGTGGGATCTACACGCATGTTGCATGAGGATCTGTGTTCCCGGGTGGAATGCCGCCGTATGCACGCGCCTCCCTGCTCACGCACACGCGCACACACGCACACTTACAATGAGCGTCTACAGGAGGAGGGTCCCGCGCGCCAGCTCTGCGTTTAAGACAGGAATCTGCCAGGCTAGCAAAGTCAAGAGTAAGTGACAATTTCCCTCTCCACCAGCAAGGAAAGGAGACTACAAAAGTCCCTTTGTACCTCGGCAGCTCATTTAATATTATTTATGCATTTTTGTGCAAGGAATTGTGGGATTTTTCCCCACGGTAAACAATATGGAAATGTCAAAAATCGCAGTCTTCCAGCGCGTGTCCACGGACGCACACCAGGGTGACCTGACGGGGCTGTGGCGGGGGCTCCTCGGGTCCCCGAACCGAGAGGCGGCGGCGAGAGCGCGAGCGAGCGCAGGAAACACGGTCGCGGGCTGGCTGGGGCCGGGGCTCCCGCACGCGGAGCCCGAGGACGCGGCCGCTTTAAGGGGGGGAGGGGCGGCGGCGGCGGGGGAGGGGCGGCGAGCGGCTCCTGTCACCGAGCGGCCGCCGGCGCGTCACGTGGGCGCGCCGCGCCGCGGCCATTGGCCCGAGGCACGTGTCCAGGAGCCCGGCCCGCGACGTCACTCGAGGGGGCTCTGTTAAAAATAAGAACAAAAATCCAGAGTGAAAGTGTCTCAGGTCGCGCCAAGTGGCCTGGAGAGCGCCCGAGCCCGCGCGGAGGCCGAGGCGGCGAGGGCGCGCAGACCGCCCGGCCCGGCCCGCGCCTCCCGCCGCTCACCCGCGCCTCGGGCCGCGGGGCTCGGCGGGGCTCGGCGGGGGCGCGGCCGCACGCCGGTGGGGCGCCCGGGCCCGCAGCGGGGCGGCGGCCGAGCGCAGCGCGGGCCCGCGGGCCTCCATGTGCGTGCTGGCGGCGGCGGCGGGCGCGCTGACCGCTCGCGCCCCGCACCCTCGAGGGCCGGCCGGGGCGCGCGGGCGGGGGCTGCCGGGCGGCGGCGGCGGCGGCGGCCCGAGGGGGCCCGGGCGGGCGTGAGGCGCGGGGAAGCGCGCTGCCTGCATGCGCGCAGCTCCAGCCCCGGGCGGCCGCGGCGGCAGCGCCGGAGCCGGAAGCAGCCGGACGCGGAGCGGAGCGCGGAGCCCTGGAGGAGCCCCGGGTCCCCGCCGGACCTTTGTGACTGTGTAGCGCCCGGGGAGGGCGCGCGGCGAAGACGAGGACCCGACTCTTTTGAACCTCCCGGCGTCTGGGCGCGGGGAGACTCTTGGTATTTTCTAACTCAACTCGTGGATCGGAACGTGGCTCCCCTCCAAACGCGGCCGGTGACTTGTAGGACCCCAGCCCTGGCCTCGGCCGCCGCGCACGCCCTCGGAAGCCTCGGCTGGGTAGGAGCGCGAGCCGGCCGCGAGTGTCTCCGTGCGCGCCACGGGCGGGCCGAGGGCTGATTGGCGGGGGGAGGGTCCCCGGAGAACCAGTTTGGGATTTGTCGTGAACAGCATGGAGGAGAATGACCCGAAGCCCAGCGAAGCGGCGGCGGCGGAGGGGCAGCGGCAGCCGGAATCCAGCCCCAGCGGCGGCTCGGGCGGCGGCGGCAGCCCGGGCGACGCGGACACTGGCCGCCGGCGGGCTCTGATGCTGCCCGCGGTCCTGCAGGCGCCGGGCAACCACCAGCACCCGCACCGCATCACCAACTTCTTCATCGACAACATCCTGCGGCCCGAGTTCGGCCGGAGGAAGGACACGGGGACGTGCTGTGCCGGCGCGGGAGGAGGACGAGGCGGTGGAGCCGGCGGGGAAGGCGGCGCGGGCGGCGCGGAAGGAGGCGGCGGCGCGGGCGGCGCCGAGCGCCTCCTGGGGTCTGGCCGAGAGGCCCGGCAGAACGCGCCCAGTGCGCCCGCACCGCTGCCCGGCGGTGGCGGCGGCGGCGGCGGCGGCGGCGGCGACTCTCCGGGTGACGGGGAAGGCGGCTCCAAGGCGCTCTCCCTCCACGGCGGCGCCAAGAAAGGCGGCGACGCCGGAGCCCCCCTGGACGGGACGCTCAAGGCCCGCGCCTTGGGCAGCGGCGACCTGTCGGTGAGCTCGGACTCGGACAGCTCGCAGGCCAGCGCCAACCTGGGCGCGCAGCCCATGCTTTGGCCGGCCTGGGTCTACTGCACGCGCTACTCGGACCGGCCTTCTTCAGGTGAGCCGGTCGTGGGGAGGCCCGCGGGGTTGCGGGGCGGCACTGGCCCGAAAACTTGCCGGGAGGAAGAAGACACCAGGACACCCCCCCCCCCCCCAGCACACACAAAGACGCACAAACAGGGACTTTGTGTGCGGCTGACGCTGGCCAGGGCAGCGGCTGAGGAGGAGAGGGGGCTGGACTGATTCGCAGGGGGGTACAGATTGCTTTGAAAAACAGAAGCGACAGGACCTTCCCTCTCTGTCTTGCTTTTGGGGCCACTACCCGAAGTCCCTAATCTGCCACTCTCCTGGCTGGAGTTTATTTGGTGACACCGCGGGTGGCAGGAAGACTGGCCTAGAAGCTAGCACTCTTAACCCTTTCTCCGTTCTTCCAACTCAGTCCAAACCCAGGACCCATGTCGGGGTCCCCGCAGACCTAGACTCCTCCTACGACCCAGTTATCTCAGATGAAGTCAGGGAAAAAAGAGCTAGGTTCCAGGCTCTTCCTTAGACCCCTGGGCCCGGGCTGAGGAGGGAGGAGCAGGGGATAGAGATAGGGAAGGGATGGCAATAGAGGGGCCCTTCGCTCCGATTAGATTACGTTGCCTGATTGCAGGGTAGGGGAGCTCAGCCCCCATCTTGCACACTGCTGGGAGGAGGGAGGCCTGCAGTCCCCCCAAAGAAAGGACCTTCTCCTGGAGGTTTCCTAGAGCGGCTCCCAGGGCAGAAAGAAGCCGATTTCTGCGGGAGGGTGGGTGGAGGGGCCCGCGGGTGTGTGCAGGGGTTCTGGGTATATTTTTCATAGATCTGGATTTTTAAAAGCTAAATGCACATCCATGTAGAAATCATCGGTTACATGAAATGGGGGTCCGCGGCTGCAAACCGCCATTAGGAACGGACTCCATTTGTCCCGGAGCTGGTAATCCAGACCCGACCCCGCTGCCCCCCCCAACCCTCAACTGTTTTGTGGGGTTTGTTTACCCAAATCCCAGCACAACTGAGTCTCCCCTTGGCCGCCTTCCCTCAGAAATGTGTGTGTATATTTCTGATGAAATCCACATTTCTCCAGCTAGATCTGAAATTTGCTCCATTGTTCTCGCCTCCCTCCTTTGTTAATATTTAATTAACATATAGACTCACAATGCGGCCAGCGAGGAGCCTCGGCCCGGCTTTGTGCGGTGGCAGAGTCCCGGCCGCGCCAGGCCCGGGTGGCCCGAGGGAGCCCCGCAGCCTGGCCGGGCCACAGTCGCTGCTCTTCCTGGACATAAAAACAAAAGAAAACAAAACAAAAAAACACCAAACCAAACAAAACAACAGCAACAACAAAAACAAACAAGCAACAACAGCAAAAAAGAAACCCATAAGGTGTAACGTTTGTGTTTCTTGGCCTTTTAGAAAGAAGAAAGGCAAAGAGTTTTCTTTGCCGATGTTTGCTTCTGTTTCTCAAGTGTGTACGTTTTGAAAGAAAAGGAAAGAGAACTAAAAATTCTGATCTTAGGGAGATTTCCTTTCCGCAAAATGGTGTGTATCGTTTTACGGGCTGGTTCGTGTGTGCAGGAGGAGTCTGGAGGGTAGGGCGCGTGCTTCCCCGGGACAGTGGAGGCGCAGAACCGGCTCCCGGAGCACGAGGCCACGGTCGGGTCTGCGCGGGTGCGGGGCCTCGCGAGGCCTCCGGGAGCCACCGCTAACCCTTTGAGCGCGTCCCGGCGGCCTCTCGATCAAAGCCCGCCCGCTGGCGCGGAACCCGCGCCCCAGGCGTGTGCGCGATGGTACCGGTGGGTGTGCGCGCGCGGGGGTGGCTGTGTGCGCGGGGCCGCGGCTGTGAGTGTGGGTCTGCCCCCAAATCCAAAAGGCCGGGAGTTTAAGCCGAACGGCCCTTGGAGACCCCTCGCCGTCGCCCACAGCCCCTCTTCCTGAGTTTGCCTTCCGAGAGCGCACGGCTGGGTCCGCGGACAGGGAGTTCTCTGTGTCCGCTGCGTCTCGGGACCAGCCGGCCCCGCGCCCCCCGCTTCACTCTCCGGGTTCCGGGCTGGTGCAGCCCGCGGCGTCCGGCGAGATCCCTCCGCCGCTGCTGCGCAGGGTGGCGGGGCTGTCCCCTGGCCCTGCAGGGTGGGCTCGGGCCCTCGGCTGAGACCATGGGGGTTCTGGCAGCTTGAGGGAGCCGGCAGGGGTCCAGCCTCCCTGCTGCGGGGCGTCTGGGAAGGAGCTGGGGCCGGAGCTCCCCCAAAGTTGGTTCACTTCCCAGAGTAAGAAACACACGTGCAGCCCAGCCTCCCTCCCCTAACGGCTTTTGCCGTCTCTTCCCTCAAAGACACCTTTGTGGGGCTGAATTTCTTGATACCAACAAAAAGAAAGCACTTGGCCCTCCTCTCTGCTCCCCTCACTCAGGCCTTTTCAGGTGGTGGGGTCCTAGAAGCCTTGCCACCACTGTCCCACAGCAATCTCGAGTGGTGCAGGGGGTGTCCCAGCGGGAGGAGACCCGGGTGGGGGATCAGAATCCTCTGCACAGGTCAGCTGGGTTCCTCTGCGGCCTCCGGGGAGGCGGCTCCAGTCTGGGGGAACCCGGTCCCCTCTCCTGCCTGGGAGACTTGGTGGGAGGTGAAGGGGGAGCTCTGAGTGGCTCAGTGATCCTTCCCCATCCCGGAAAGGATCCGTGTGCTCCCTCCTCTCCAGGAAGGAAACAATGAACTTGGGCCCGCAGTGCTGTTTAGGGGAGGCAGAAAGGGGGCTGGGGGGTGGAGGCAGAGCCAGGGCCTCTCCCATTCTCTGGATGCACCTGCCCCCTGACTCCCGCCACCCCTGGCACCTGAGGGTATCCCCTGTGGGCAGCCAGTGGGCATCCTGTCACCATTCTCTGGGCTCCTGCCGCTGCTCTGGCTGCCTCTCCCCTCCCCCAACCTTTCCTCTGGCCTCCCCTGGGCCTCCCTCCCCTTACTCCAGGACAGAGAGGGATAGCAAAGGCCTTGCTAGGAAGTTTGGGGGCTTTTCTTTCCTGCAGGAGTTTTCCTTTTATCTGGAGACCTTTCTTTCTTCTTCTTTTTTTTAAATCTTAAGTAAACTCTGTGCCCCATGTGTGGCTGGAACTCAGACCCCCAAGATCAAGCCTCCTATGCTCCACCCCACCCCCCCAGCCAGCCAGGTGCCCCTGGAGACCTTTCCACTAAGCCTGCCCCTACCCCTACACACCCCCTTACACCCCATGATGTCCGGAGCCTGGCTTTCCAGGGGTGGGTCCTGGAAGTGGCCGACGGGGACCTGAGTCGGGACCTGAGTCGGCAGACAGGCCTGGAGCCCTCCTAACCCAATTCTCTGTGCACCGTGCCCGCCCAGGTCCCAGGTCCCGCAAACCAAAGAAGAAGAACCCCAACAAAGAGGACAAGCGGCCCCGCACAGCCTTCACGGCGGAGCAGCTGCAGCGGCTCAAGGCCGAGTTCCAGACCAACAGGTACCTGACCGAGCAGCGGCGTCAGAGCCTGGCGCAGGAGCTCAGCCTCAACGAGTCGCAGATCAAGATCTGGTTCCAGAACAAGCGGGCCAAGATCAAGAAGGCCACGGGCAGCAAGAACACGCTGGCTGTGCACCTCATGGCCCAGGGCCTGTACAACCACTCGACGACCGCCAAGGAGGGCAAGTCGGACAGCGAGTAGGGCGGGCGGGCGCTGGGGCCGGCCTCCGTCGGCGCTAAGCAATGCAATAATGTAAAATCATAAAGGGCCAGTGTATAAAGATTATACCAGCATTAATAGTGAAGATATCGTGTATTAGCTCTGGTTCTGCAATATTCTATGTATATATAATTTACAGGTGGTGTAAAATCCAAAATAGCTGACTATAAAATATTTTTGAGTTTTCCAGTGTTTATGAGATTATGCTAATTTTATGATTTTTTTTTTTTTTGCGGAGGGGGCTGCTTAGGGTTTCATCTTTTCTAATCCCCTAGGCTCCGTTGTGGGACTTGGGACACTTTTATTTTTTAATTTCAAAAGAAGAAAAAAATTAAAACAACTTGCTGAAGTCCAAAGATTTTTATTGCTGCATTTCACGGGACTGTGAACCGAATAAATAGCTCCTACTTGGTCTCTGAGTTCTGCCCCTTTGTCTGTGTGGGCCTGGTGAGGACAGCAGGAGGGTCTGCACCCCCGCCTGGCGGCCGGAGGGACACTGGGGTCCTGGGAGGAGTGCCGCTGCTTCTTGGCGGTGGCTCTGGGCTCGCCCACCGGGCCTTCCAGGCCCCTAGGCTCACTGGGCTCCTCTCCTCCTTCCTTCTCTCCTCTTCTCCTCCTCTTCCCCCTCTTGCTCCTCCTCCCCCTCCTCCCCCCTCCTCCTCACCAAGGCCTGGCCAGCACCTCCCTGTGCTTCAGTCTGCGTCTGTCTTGCTGTCCCCTATCCAGCCGCCCCGCTGCCACAGCCAGCTCTCTCGCCTCTGGGCACCACTTCAGGGATCCCAGGCCCACAGGCCCAGCATGTGGCCGGTGGTGGCGGAGCCACCCCTCGTCCTGTCCCTCCAGGCCCCAGGACTCTCCTGCCGCCCACTCCGTGGGCCCCAGAAATGGTGGAGGTCTGCTGCCTCCGGGCAGGCAGAGGGCTTTCCAGACGGAGCTGGTGTTTTCTTCCTTTCTTGTTTTTCTTCCTTTTTTTACTTTTCCTTTTTTTTTTTCTTTTTCTAAGTGGCTGCTTCTGCTTTGGAGAGCATTCTTTCAAGGTACATATGTGTGTGTGTGTACGTATCTGTGTACCGGGTGCACACAGGCACAGAAGTGTACGAGTCCACAGTTCCCCAGCATGTGGCTCCCTTGACTTTTAGAGGAACTCAGAATCCTCCAGGATTGAGAGGAAGGAGGAAAATGTGTAAATAATCATTTCTTATCACTTTTTGTCTTTTCTTGTTTTTTTTTTTAATATACATTTTATTTTTTGAAGGTGTGGTACAGTGTAAATTAAATATATTCAATATATCCCCACCAAGTACATATATATAAACAAACACATTATCTATATATATAACTCTGCACTGTCTTCTGTTTAGTGTATGGGAAAAGAATCGTGTCCAAATGTCCATCTGCGGCCGGGACAGCCTGGGGGCGGGGGCGGCGTGTGTCGGTGGCTGAACCAGACCCACAGCCGAACGCCCCCCTCCCAGGACTGAGGGTGAACGTCTCTCTTTGCCTTAAACCTCTTAATTTCACTGCGATAATAGTTTCACTTTGTACATACTAGTGCAAACCTTTTTAAAAAGGAAACTATAAAAAAAAGTTGTAATTTAAAATTCTGTGAATAACCATCTGCTGCTTAGGAAACTCAATGAAATGATATGCCTTTTTAGCAGGAAGCAAAGTTTTTTGGTTTTTATTTTTTTTATTTTTAGTTTATAAAACATGTGCATTTTACAGTTCCAGCATCAAATATTTATAATCCTATGAGAAATGAATGTTTCTATTTACAACTGTGGTTATCAGCATTGTGAACATTCCCCTTGCATTTTTTGTGTGTTTAAATTCTTGAAAGTTACATTAAATAAAAAAAAACGCTTTATTGTAAAATATTGGATGTCCAAGTTGGCATGACTAGTTTTTCTAAGTGTGTTTCGAAGTCTGGCCCAACCGCTCTGGGCCTCCTCCCCATGGCGTGGGCGCTCCCGCCCTTTGCCGTGATTGGAGCAGGGGAGCACCTGCCTACCTTTACAGGCAGAGGTGCAAATTTAAAAAAAGAAAAAAAATGAAGACACTTTGAATATCTCCATGTGTGAGCACAGAAAAACCAAAGTAATGTAAGTACACTTCTTTGCCAGAAGGAAGTGTTCAAAAGTATGGTGCCATTTCATTGCATAATTGTTGAAAATCCTACAAAATGCAACAGGTTTCTGTCTCCCCACTGTTCTACAGGAGGGAGAGAGATGTTGCTCCCGAGGGGGAGGCTCTCCTTTTTCATGTTTTCATGTTGTTTCTACGCCCAAAGCAAAGGACTTGGACACATCCAAAGGCTGAGGTGGGGGAAGGACAGACTGTTTCTGAGCTGACCAGACCACCAGAAGCATCCATCCGGGTAGTGTTCTGGGGAGAGTGGTGACAGCCAGTGTGTCCTGCCAGGACAGCTGAGTACACAAGGTGTGCCCAACTGATCTCTGTCCAAAGTTCCTTGCCATGAAAAAGATTCTTCTTCCAGTGAAAGAAACCCAGAGATGAGAAAGGATCATTTGCGGCCAAAGGAGATCCGTGTTTTGGGTTCTACATCCGCTTCCCAGATGGGAGCTGGGCCTTTGGGGGCAGGAGAGGGGCTCCTCCCAGGATTTGCAAAGATGCATCAAGCCAGAGAAAGCTGGGGTCTCACCACGGAGGCTCTGGAGCCCTACCTGCCTGGTCTCAGGAGTGCCCCAGGGTCATCGCCAATAGGGTGTGATCAATCAGGAAATCCAGTGTCTCCCCCTTCCCCTACATAATTCTGAGGATTCTTTAAACACAAAACGAAAAGGACGGGGGCAATTTCTATTACCTGATTGGTCACCCTCTCTCTCTCTCTTTTTTTAAAGACAGTACAGCAACATTAAACAATCATTCTTCTTTTTAATCTATTCACAAATCATAACTTTATTGATTGAAAACTGTACATTTTCTAAGGTACAGTTTTCTACTGGTACAATTTTCTAAGGTAATGAGTTCCTTTTTTGTAAAGTAATGAGTTCCCCATCCTCAGAGGAGTGCAAGCAAACATTAAGCCTGCAGCAGCATAGGGAGTTTTTCTTTTCTTTTTTTTCTTTCCTTTTTTTTTTTTTTTTTTTTTTTTTTTGACAAGGGATTGGATGGAATGAACCCCTAGACCCTCAAAAGGTTGAGATTCTGGTTTTGCTCCTATGTTTATTACATTTTTAAATTCAATCTAAGTTTGAGGCTCATGAAGAGTCTCTGTTGCCCCAGCCAGCATCTCTCTCTCTCTCTCTCTCTCTCTCTCTTTCTCTCAGTGGCAAGTGGAGACCAGAGCCAGGCCTGCAGGGGAGCCAAGGCCCCTTTCTGAATCCAGAGCCGGGTCCCTTCCTCCTGGACTCAGGGCTCCACTTAACACACCTTGGATCTGGACCAGGACTGCAGCTTCGAGAGTTGGTGGAGCCTTGGGCTGGACCCCAGCCAGACTGTTGAACCTCCAGAAGGCCATTTCCATAAATGTTCTTCAGAGGAAAGCAGGGTTATAAAGGAAGCCCTTGCTCCTTCCAGCCGGAGGGCTGCCATGGCCCAGGCCTGTCTGTGTCCAGGATCCTCCAAAGCCCAGCAAAATCTGTGCGGGGCCTGAGAGCCTGGGTGGGAGTCCAGATGCCTGTTGCCGCGTCCCCTTCTTGAGCAGCGTTTCCTGCAGGCGGGGGCGGGGGGGGGGGTGCGAGAGAGGCTTAGCAGGGCCCCTTGGGGTTCAGAGGGCCTTCCTCTTCCCACCGCCAAAGTGGTCAGATGAGGGGGGTCTAACTGTCAGGCTGGAGTCAGAATCCGAGGGTCAACGCAGGCCCGAGGGTCACCTGGTGTGGACCCGCCATGGGCTTTATTTAGGGGAAGCTAGGAAGGAGCCACTCAGGTGACCTCGTGTGATCTCCAAGAGGACCCCGACTTTGTTGTTGTTTGCTTTTTCCTTGAGTGAAAAGGTGCAATCGATGGGGGCTTCCGGACGCCCCGGCGCAGATGTTCGGTGTTCGGGGACATGCGCTCGGCTCCCCGCACACACCCAGACACGAGGCGTGAAGCGCGCTGTCCGCCGCCCCGCGCTGGCTGGGAGGCCGCGCTCGCTCGCCCTCGCTCGGCTGCAAGTCGTTCCGCTTCCCGCTGATTCCACAGCCGACCTCCGCGGTCTCCGCCTACCCCGACAGCTCCCCAAGCGTCTGGGGACGTCCCGGCTCCGCCGAAACCCGCCGCTGCCCAGGAGCAGCCGCGGCCCGGAGGCGCATAGACACTGGCGACCAAGGGCCAGAGCGCGGTGCCCACGGCTCTCTGCAGGGCACACCCGCACCCCGACACCCGCGTCACACCCGCACCGCAGCCCCTGCGTCGGGCCTCGCGGGCCCCCTTCCCGCGCTTCCCCCGTGCTCGGGCCGAGGCGAGGCCTCCTGCGGGCCTCCAGTAGGGGGGCCTGGAGCGGACCGAGCGAACGGAGGGTTGCGTCCCCGGGACCCCGCGTGCTGGCAGGCGGGGGAGGCCGCTCGCGGGCGGAGACGGGCGCGCGCGTGGGTACGGCCGCCGGGAGCTCTGGCGCGCGTGTCCCTGACCCTGGCGGGAGCGCCCCCCCCCAACCAGGCCGCGTGAGCCCTGGATACACAATTCATGTTGTTACTAATTTCAAATGCTTCATTGTATTTCTGCGGCCCGCCCACAGAAAATAAAAGGCCATTCTTGAAATAGCCTGAAATGTGATAATATTCATTAAAGTGGCTCCTAATTATGAGATTTAATCAAGCGTAGTCCACTGCTGCTCTGTCTCTGGCTGGTGAGGCCGACGATGGTGACCCACGTTACTACTATTGTCTGTTACTATTATTGTCGTTGTTAGTAGCCCGATGCTCAGGTGCCAGAGTGCCCGCCACAGCTTCAGTTTGGGGATTTGGGGAGCCCCAAGATGGAGGAAGGGGGGGCCAGAACGACTCCGGAGTCCCAGGGAGCAGGTGTGGCCCAAGCTT